ACTTTTGCTTCTCACAAAGGGAAGGGAAAGAAAACCAAATTGATTTTGAAAAGGTGAACATTGACGTAAATGCAAAGACTGACACAGACTGCATCAGAAAGCACAAATAATGTTTTTCTTCCCAACCATCCATATTTTTGACTAATAAACAGAAAAGAAACAAATAAATTCTGGATCAAGAGAAAAAAAAAGCCTGGCACACAACCACGTTTGTTTGGAAATCATTTCTGAAAGTCACAAAGTAACTAAGATTGTGAAATGTTGTATTTATGAACTTATAAAGGAATAATGGATTCCAGATCAGATACAAAAGAAGTGGCAAAAAAGAACTAAAAACCTAATTTCATCTAGGTGGTAGTATAAACTTAGGAGCTATGAGAAGACAGGCAATAACATGGCCTTTGTGATATCACTTCAGTGGTAGCAAAAACTATGACATTGATTTTAAGATGGAATCATTCATTCAAGTAAAGTACGTTTTACCTTCACAACTGAATCAATATAGAGAGGAAGGAATCAAGTTCAAAGTGGCACTATGAGAACAAATAAAACATGTCCTGGTGACTTTTCCAGTAGACAGCTTACACCAGGTTTTATTCATCCACATCTTGGCAAGGAACATAGATTCATATCAGAGGAGGCTGTGCAAGTACCAGCTGTCCTGTCTTAGGAAACAGCATCCTACACTCACATCTCACCAAAGCCGTAATATGTGACAGTCACATATAAAAAGACCTGTGCCAGAAAGATTCTGCCTGGACCCAGTCTTTCTATGAACCAAGTGCTTTAGACATGTATTTTGAGTGATATTTTGTTTCAGAGAAAAACAAGTGGATAAAATACTCATGAAACATCTCCCTAAGTCAAAAAGGTAATCATTTTCATGTTCTCTTTCTCACTTTCTGGTTCTTATATGTGAAATAAGGGTTATGACCCCTTACTCCCTGAAGCTGAGTGACCTAACATGACACAATGATCACATCTTCATAACATATTTCTGTTTAATAGATTTTCTTCTTCCTTCTTAAGGGCACAGAATACCAGTTCTATAACAGAGCACATGGCAATTATGTGAGTCAGCATGGCATTCTAATTTAACATGTTCTGGTCCTGCAATGTCCCATGGACCCTGAATGTAAGGACACATTAAATACAAACTTGACCTTTACTCTCAGTCCAATGTTAGTATAAGATACACGTTAATATACAGCACTCTTTAAATTAAAAATGTGTCAAATCTTCAGATACCTTCATAAATAAGTATCTTTTTTATGTGGAACCTTTTATACTTATGATGTATTGACCATGAGTTACCTTATGTCCTTATCTTCCTTTAAGGACTGATATTGTGAATGCCTGTGAAGTGCTGTATCACAGCACTCAGGATCTCATGCCTTGCTTAGCACAAAGAATTAGCATTGTTAAAAAAGCATTAAGCTCATATTCCATTACAAGCAGACAGCTGTGTTTCAGAATCAAAGGCTGCTACATCAGGACTCAACCAGAAAATGTACTGAAATTTTACATTATGATGTAGATTTTCCACTCGATTTCTGTGTATTTGCCAAGTCAGGCTTTGTTCTTATGCTTTCTATACTATTGATTTCAATTTAAAAGTAGACACATATGATAGATTGAGAAATATTTGTACATGGATGTTATTAATCTGACCTGGAATATCTTAGTATCATTACAAAATTACACCAATGGAAACGGATGAGAGATGATTTGAGAAGTACATGGAAAACCAATATTACAATTCCATGAGACTAGGATGCTAACGTAGCTCCTTTGCTGCTACTCCAAGTGTTTGTTGTTCTGTGATTAGACAGATAGATTTCTGTCCTAGGGCAATGCTTTTCTCAGGTGAGGCTAGCATTATGTATCTTTCCAGCTGAGGTGACTGAACACCTCATGTTCACATCTGTACCCTAGAAGGCAGTGCCTAAGTGTCAGACATGTTTATGTAGGGTGAATCTCCTTACCCCTGGCTAATTATGGACATTGGTAGATCCCATATTCATCACTGGTGTGAGGACACTGAAGTATTTTATACTTGCTAAAGTAAAATTTCCAGTTCTATTAAGGAATGTGCTATAGAAGGGTTTTGTATTTTATAAAAGACTCATTTTTCTTCCTCCTCCATTTTTTTATGTCTAATCAATATCATATTTAGCTTCCATGTTTATAATGTGGTGCCAGGCACCTTTATTATATAAAGTTCTAATTTTTAAGATGTAACTGATAAAACTTTTCTGATATAACTGTGGTTCCCTCCTAAGCAATGTGGAACCAATAACATAGATCCTTACCCTCTGGCCATCATAATCTGTGTTCACAGCAAATTCATCTCATGAGGGTACAATGAGATGGTCAGATCCTTTAACATTATTCACTTGCTAACTTTTATGACATACATAATGGTTGAGGTTGCACTTACAGCCATTTGGAAGAGCTCATCTGAACTTAACATTTTTGGTTTAGATACCATGTCTTCTGTCTGACATCTATAATACTTTGGAATGTGATCTTGAGAGCACTGAAAATTAAATGAATATTTTGCTGTTTGCTGAAAGATTTCTCCACCATTTATGAGGTTGTTTCAGTCTATTATAATCTCACAGACTCAGTACTTTCTATAAATTACTGCCTTTATTAGTTTCTGGAAATAATTTCAAAACTTATAAAAATATTTCATGACTCTCATGTCAACTCAATCTATTTGATTATGACATCATTCTTCTTCAGATAGCACAATGAATTTAGTTAATATGGATACACTGGTTGTTCTAATATAAGACCCACAAAGTTGGGTGTGCATTTATACTATACTAGAGATATCAGCAGAATGAGCAAACTTGGAAGTTTTACTACTACCCCTAAGATCCTATCCACACAACATCCATGTGTTGAAACTACCAGAGAGTTGGGCAATGTCCTCATCCACCACATCACATTTTTAAATCAGCCATAGGAGGGGAATGAAACAAGTATATACGAACAGACTATGTGTCACTAGAAAAGGATTGCAAGCAATCTAAGTAGTGAATGTTGTATTTGCTTAATTCAGTAAGTCAGTCTCTATCCTTTATTACTTAGTGATTATTTTTGTAAATTATTACTTAGTAATTTATTACCTGATTCAGAAGAGCTCTCTGATTTATAACAGAAGTTGTCCTTGCTAGTATCTTCAAGAGTTCTCTAATTGATCTATTACCTTTGCATCTGTAAAGAGCACCAGTGCCAACCCGTTCTGATAGCCATGTCCGCAGACACTGTTCTCAAATGGGTCAATGATTCAAGTAATCACCTGCACTCCAGGTCTGCTGTGGATTTACTGCTTTATAAAGAACACAGACTGATTGGCTATTTTAATTAATTCCTGTTAATAATACATAGAGGAATAATATTGGCTACAATTATACACTATGTAGTTAATTTATGTAAGGAACATTACCTTGTTTACATTGGTGTTTACAAAAAGTGATGACAAATGATGAAACAGAAGAGAATTATTTTGTGTGTGTTCATAGTGTGTCTTCATTTCAATTTGGAAAACACTAGGTCTGAACTATCCATGTATTAGCAATGAGATGATAGAAACTACTTAACAAGTTGTATGTCTCTATTGATACACTGTGCTGTTATATTATGTGGTTAACCGATGGAAATTTTTCCACAGTGATTTTGAATCACAATCCCGATGTGCTAGGTCAACTAGTCATGCTCCCTTTCACAATTCTATTAGGATTGAGATTGCTTTCCCTAAACCCCCAGTGGGAGAGGAGTCAGCAACCACAGAGTGCCAGGTACACAGTAAACATTGGAACCCCATGCTTGTGATTGCATTGTGCATAACTTTTTTTTTATCCCTTGTAGTCTTACAGCCTGAAAATGTAAAGGTTGTAGTAAAGAGAGAAGTCATACATATCTTTTCTTATCACCTATATCTCATCTCATATTGAAGTAAATATGGACCCACAATTATCTATGACATTCTAGGATTAAAGAACCATAGCTGAGTCCTGTTCCGAATGCATTATTTTCTAGCCCTTATACACTTTGAGTCTTAAGATGAATCAGGATTCTGTGACAAATGAGTCAAGAGGCAAAAGACTGGTTATTCTGTTTCTTTCTCATTTTAAAGAAAAAAAATCATCATCCATGTAGGTTAATGGAATTATTCAATGATTTATACATTCCAAAAATGACATAGTTCCTCATTTCAGTCCTTAACAAAAAGTAGCTTTTTGTCACTTTTTCCTGAACAAGGTCCTAAAAGGATTAAACCCTCCCACCAGCAAGTGATGTCTAAATGAGCTTAAATGTGCAGACAGTCCTCCATGCTCAGTGGATGCAACCACCTCCCAAGAAAACCTGCATCATCTACAGGAGAAGTGTTCAGTCAGCCTGCAGGGGGTGCTGCCCTCACACACAAAATCTATTGATAGCTCATCAAATCATCTTCATTGCATAATGTTAACTGTAAAGCTATTTCTCTTTTTGAACTGGTCTTTTTTTGTTAGCCTGACATTGGATATGTCAAGGTTGTAAGAAATAACAGTCTGCAAGGCTCTGTTTCCAATGGTACCCATGATTACAAAATGTTTTCCCCAACACAATCATAAAATGTTGAACTGAAAGGAATTCTCATTCTCATGCTATATGGAGTATAAATGTAAAGTCAAGGCGGCCAAACTATCCATTTCCAAATAAGAATGTATACCTACACTCATTAAAAATCACCTGGAAATGTGTATTATTAGCAAATCAGTAAGAAATTCTCACTAGTATAAAATTCCTGCTTTATATAAAAGCCATACTGGCCATTCAAGTATTTTGAGGTTTTATTTTCCCTTATAGTTTTATATTTATACTAAAATAATAAATTTAGAGTTGAAATTATATTAAAAGAAAATTAAGTCACTTCTATCTCCAGGGTATTTTTCTGAGTGTGTCTGGAAGAACCAAGCATCTGTCTGCACACTCAACACCCACAACCCTCTCCACTTGAAGGAAACAGCTCACCCTCACTGGTTTTCAGAGAATAATTAACCTTCCAATGGAGAAGCAACACCAGATTTCCTTTCATTTCTGCCAGTTTGCAAGTTAAAGGTCAAAGGGCAAAGACATAGAATAGGACTGTTCAAGAGAAATTTTCACAAAAGACAATGTTTAAGTTGTTAATGACAATCAACAGATCAACAATCAAGGTCAAGGCAAGCTGTTCATTGTTTCAAAAGCTAATCCCCCAGGAAGCTGGCTTTTCTGAAAAGCCAGTGTCTGAGTCATAGGGTGTGTCCCTTCTGACCATCCCTAATGAGTTCACAGCCCAGTGGCTTGAAAGCTTTTCCTCATGAGAAGCAGCTTCCTGAAAATCAATAAAGAGGTCTGTCAGTTGCTGACTTTTCACTAGGAAAAAACTATTGATACGAACCTGCTCCACAGGTCGCACAAAAATGACGGCACTGATGTTAGGACAAATGACACTCCACAGTGAGATGCTTTGGTGGTGTCTTGGCTCTGTCAGTAACCAAACAGATGGCTGGACGCCAGAAGCCACACAAACCCTTTGAGAACTATGGCTGCCATGCAGGACAGTCACTTGAATTCGCTTTACAGTGGCCATATGCACTGCATGTCTCAAGGCAAACTGAACTCCCATGCAATGGATTTTAAAACAGAAACTCAGTATGTCTAACCAAAGTAAAAAAAGACTTAGGCTATTATCATTGGTTATTCAAATAAAATTTCACTCTTACAAGATACTTAATAAAATACCTTTTTATTTGCCAGGAAGTGTTTTAGCAAGTCATATCGCCTGTGTCATGATGCATTTCTGTAGGACCAGAGGTCATTTAAACATTGCACAGGGTTGTAGGATACCTGTTTTAAAAACCTGACATTCCTGACCCTGAGACTACTGTCACCATTGCCCAATTGTTCAAAATTCACCAGATAGCCAAACTGACAACACATTGACTCTGAAAGCTGATTTGATAGTTCTCAAAGGGTTCCACCACTGGATTATAATGTCACATTGCCTTGTAAGCAATTGTCACTTCACACCATGTTAGGAACATGCTGCTTCTCACTCTCATAGAATGAATATTCCCAACAGACCCAGGGGAGGCCTAGGGCAATGGCCTAAAACAGCTTGGGGAGGTCCCACAATGACAACACGAGGTGGCAGGAAGGACACACTTCTGGAAACATTTTCAAACAATTCAAAGTCCTGTTTGAGTAGAGCTCTAAGTACAAATGGGCTGGGACAGTAAGGACATGGCTGAGAATAGCTGTAGAAAACAAAAAAAAAATGGAATGTTATTAAGGCTGTTACTATATTGCAGAGAATTTGGCCCCTGTTGGCTGGAATGGCTCCCCAGTCTTGACCTGCTGCCTCAACACTGGCAAGCACAGCAGACTTCCTGGAGAGGTCAGAGCACGCTCTTTGGAGACTAAGCTGTTCTAGGTCTTCCACTTTCCTGAAAGTTCAACTATGAGTTGTTTTGTTTAACCTTTTAAAATTTTCTTGGCTGTAAAGCAAAAATGTGCGGGTTCTTCCTTTTGCTTTTCTCCCTACCCTACAACCCCAGAAATGGGCTCAGACTTCAGAAGTACAATCCTATTTGAAACAATTAGGAAGAATCTTTTTCTTGGTTTCCTCTTCTGATGTTACTCCTGAAAATGTCCTGGGCATCAAGCATACAGAGGAAAGGCCTAGAATGGAAAGACAAAGAAAGACAAAGGACTGAGGGACGGTAGGGACTTGCATCATGGAAGCGTCCCCACAACTGAATTTCCACTCATGCGCAGGACCAGCAACCCTCTGGTTTGAAAGGTCAGCCCCAAACCAGGCTGCCACCAGTCTGCTCTGAACTAGGAACCAGCATAACAGCTCTTGTCTCACATCTCAAGTGATCACCAACTCCTGGAAAAGCAGTTGGAAGCCCCATGTCACACCCACTCCTGCATGGAGCGTTTACAGTACAGTATGTGCCGAGGAGTCCCTTTTCTCTTGAACTGGAGCACGGTGTAGACCAGTACCAGCAGGCAGAGGGCCAGGATGCATGGGATGACAATGGCGATGGCTTTCACAGTGCTGGCCGTGTGGTCCAGTTTGATGATAATGTCGACATCATCAGTAGGGCTGTGTCCTTCTTTGTGTCTGTCTGTTGGTCCATCACAGCCCATAAAGTCCTTCAGGATGGATCTGGGATATCCAGGTTCTACTTTGAGTATCTGGTTGTTGAATTTCCAATACTCCTTCCCTTTGTAGAAATATGTAAACCCTGAGGGTGGAGATGGGGGAAACAACACACACAGGAACCACTTTTGTGAAAGTTGATGTGTACAGACATTTAATTAAATTGACTACATAGACCCTGGCTGGTATAGCTCAGTGGATTGAGCATGGGCCTGCAAACCAAAGGGTGGCCAGTTTGATTCCCAGTCAAGGCACATTCCTGGGTTGTGGGCCAGGTCCCCAGTACAGAGTGCATGAGAGGCAACCACAAATTGATAGTTTTTTCCCTGTCTTTCTCCTTCCCTTACCATCTCTCTAAAAAAAAATAAAAAATAAAATCTTTAAAAAAATTGACTACATAGAAGACGTATGTTAAGACTCCTTAATTTGTTCAGGAAGAAAACACGATATTGAGCTGAACTGTGTGCTGAGATGGATCTGGCCACTGAGCCCCAGGGACTGTGTCCTCTGATGCCTGGGGAAGCCCAGCCAGAGAGAGGTGCCCTCTGCCAAGGGTGTTGAGAGACCAAGTAGAGTGTATCTAACCTGTCTACCCTGGAGCAAGACTCTCTCCATTGCTGGCTCACAGGACTGAAGGTACGTAACACATACCAGCGTGATAATATCCACCTGCATTGAAGATGTTGCCACACCTTATAAACTAAAGTGCTGTTGGCCTCAATGCTGTGTGACCAAAGGCACACAGGAGGGGGCTTCTCCAGGAGACTCCTCATGGGGAGTAGCAGCAGAAGTAGCTGTGATTCTTCTAAACAATAGGTTTCCATTTGTCATTTGGACCAGAAATCATAACAAATCATAAGTCACACAACTAGAGGTGTTTTCCTTTGTCTGCTTGAAACTTTAATAAGTAAACAAACATTTCTAGTATTTGCTACACTAATCTCATTTTTGGCTTTAGGTTACACACATTGTATCTCTTCCTTTGGCCTTGTTATATAACTTTATTATTCAGTTAGCCTATGTTAAATCTATGTCACCTAACTATATTTTACAGAACTTCTAAAGCTATTATTAACCCTTTTAAAGTAAAGAATTAGTAGTATATAAATAGATCCACAATGTTATCTTTCATACTTCCAACTAATACATGTTTCATGGGGGAGGAGGTGGTATGTGGGAGGCTCAAAGATCTGGCAATACATGTGATTTATGTTCCAAACCATTAGAGGTACGAATAATAGACTTTGCAAGTTTATGATAATTAAACTACAAGTATGTGTGTTTTTCTTAGGGCTAGTCTCTAAATTTTTGTTTTTGTTGGGCACATATCCAGTTTTTTATTTCTGTTCATAACTCCTTCACATCAATTTTTTTTGTGACTGCACCTGTTGGATTTCATTCTTGAGTCAAAATAATATTCATGAGACCAAAATAAATGTTTTAATGTCATAATTACTTTAAAGCTATATTTTTGGGAGTATCTATTTTCAATAGTATGTCTTCTTTAGTGTTAATAATCATTAATGAGGGTTTTCTTTGTCTCATGTTATTGAACACTTACTCTGGAAGAAGCCCTGTGTTAAAAACTTAGTAAATGACATTTTATAATGTCATAGCCACTCTGTCAAGTAGAGTTAGTTACCTATACTTTCCAGGCAAAGACACTGTGGCCCACAGATGAAATAAAATGCCCAAGACCTGGTGAAATGTTGGTGTAGCTCTAGAGTCTGAACATAAATGATTTGTCTAACAGTGGGTCCTTTAGAGATCTCCTGTCTTTGATCAAATACTCCTTGGTTAAACAGCACAGGCTGTGATAGATACTACTCCTAAAACAAACAAACAAACAAACAAACCATAAAACTGACATCTCTTACAGAATTTCAGCTAGGACAGAGCATCACTCCAGGTCACTTTGTTTTAGAAGTCACTTTATTTAATGTCATGTAGTCTGCCATTAGTTTTTGTAGCAAAGGGCAGTTTTGCAATCAGAGCAACTTGTCAAGTGAAAACAGGTACATGTAGATTCAAATTTTCCTGCAGGGGGCTACTGTTTGATCATTCTAATGAATCCAGTGCAATTACTCAATAAACTTGGATGAAGCAATGTGGAAGACCTGCCAAATGACAGTCTGTTAGGCGGTCATCATTCAATAATGGCATTGATCTAGAATTCAACAGACCTTTCAAATAGGTGAATGTACTTCTTACAACCTAGAAGCTAACAGCTGAAAGTGTCCTCATCTTTAAGTTTTAGTCCAAGCTGATTAGTATGAAATTACTGGGTATCATACTAAAGTTCAGAAGTTTCTACTTTGATGTTTATCAGGTCTGCAAGTCAATTTTATATAACACACTCCAATTACTGAAGTAGAATTTAGTTTAGTGAATACATGTGTTAGCAATAAGAAGTCTAATCACTATGAATTAGAGAAAAAATGTAGTACTTGAAAAGGAGCAGACTAAAATCTTTGTAATAGAAATCTGTCATACCTTAATCCCACAAAGTTCATCTCATTGATTAACTTAGGATTTTTTCCATTTAAGAAATGTCAGTGGGTTGAGAAAATATTGATGTACTCATTTTTTCTTGTTTAAGAGTAGATTTGATGTAATAATCTTGTAGATGTTATGTTTACTAAGAGTAGCTACTTCAGAATAATTTTTACTTCAGTGATCATATTTTGAGAAACTCACAGGCTAGAAGTGGGGTTATAACTGGCAATATAAAATGCAATGGTGTTATAAGTAAAATATTGTATTAATATTAAAATTGCATTTTTTAAGGAGAGACTATAGAATACCTAGGAGGTGGGGCTTGACAGCAATTAATGTAGAAACAATTTGAAGGAGGGTGAATACAAATTCTTTACCACAATTTTAGTATAAGTTAAAAACTCACAGTGATATAAAGTATAGCATAGGGAATAGTTAATAATATTGTAATAACTTTGTATAGTGCAAGGTGGGTACTGGACTTATTGAGAGATCACTTCATAAGTTATATCAATGAGTGTCAACTGTAATTAAAAATTAAAATAAAACACATGCTGTTTCTTAAAACACTGTTGAATAGTGAATGTTAAGAAGAACTCATTCCACTCTATTCTGCATAAGTCAAATATTTCAATTTTTGAAGGTATTTTTGAGGACTGAGAATACAGAGGAAAATATGAAAGCTGTTAAGATGATTACAGGTGAAAATCAAGAGGCTGATAGCTCAAGAAGCTACATTCCTAGAAATCCTGTGCTTGTCTAGTGTGACAAAATGAAACACTGAGCCCAACACAAGGGACCACCAGTTACTTTAATGATACAATATAGAAAAAAATGTTTTAGCTTTGCCTCTTACTTGGAGACGATGTATTTGAGCACATTCTGTGAGGCTAGAATGTTCCAGTTTCCAACATTAGATATGTAATCTTAACCACTTTTATGTTGGGAACCGCCCTGCCTAGTATCAGAAGCTGTAACCTGCCTAGGCTAAGGCTAAGGGAACACCCTTGGAACCATAAGCCATCAAGGAGACAAAAGCTTATCTCCCTGGCAGGAGTGCTGCTTCTGCTGCTTCAATCATAACTGAACCCCAAAGCTTGGTCGGTTAGCCAAAGATGGGTAAGATTCCCCAAGGGGGGAGTGACCTAAGACAGGCATGATCACGTGGGAGGCCCCCAAAAGAAGGACTTTGGGGGCTACAGCAAAAGGGGGTGATGAATTCTCTCTCCTCGGCTTTGACAGAGCCTGAGTCCTTATTGTCTGGGAGAAAATCTCCTTATCTCTTGGTTGCCTTAGTTCCCTTGCTCCACCTAAGCCCGAAACAATGACAGGGTGGTACAGCTCTGTACTGAAAAGGCAGGTTCCCCGGGTGATCTGGCCTAAGAAAGAATATGTAAATTCCTGTGAAACCTTCTTTGTTTAGAATGCTCTCAGTTGAATGAGAAGGGTCCAAGGAGGAAGCTAGTTTATTCCTCAAAGTTTTACAGCTCTTTGACCCTGACTCAAAATAGGCCCTCAGACTTCCTTGTTATCTATTGTTTGATCCTTACTTCCTAGCAATGAGTAATGAGCTTTTACCTGAATTCTTATGCAAATGAAACCAATAAAAAGCCTCTCCGGAGGGGGAATGGCGCGGTCTCCCCACCAGGGAGGGTGGCCAAGTGGTGCCCTCTAGGAGAGAGGGTGACCAAGGTGCTCCCCACGTGAGGAGTGGCCCTGCTGTTCCTATTTCCCCACAGGACCTGGTTGTCTCTGTGTATGTTTTTCTCGAGTTTTGACGAGCCATCCTCAGCGTTCCGTGATCACTGCTGGCTGGGGACCCACGCATAACTTTTATTATCATAAAAAGTTACTTAAAACTTGCTGATATTGTGTTCCTCATTTATAGATAACAATAAATGAGGTGAAGAGATAGTTGTGTTGCATAATTAAATTAGATAATGAATTCAAAGAACACAACTCATATACAGCAGCTACTCAATAAGTGGCAGCTCTTGGCCATATTTCATTGGTCAAAGTGGCAGAATTAATATCAGTATGTCTTCCAAAGGCATATTTCACTTTAATACAAAAATATCCTTAAAAAATCTATAGCTGAATTTAAAGGACTTTTTTTTTTGGAAATTATCATGAGGAGAGAATTCCAAGGAAGAAACTCATACATTGGTGGAAGGGTGGGTAGACAAACCATTTTGGAACTGTATCATCTCTGATTTTATGACTAATAAAATATCACCTGTGTGTACTTAGTCTTACATGGAATTACTTTGGTTTTAAATATAAATACAAATGTGTTTACTTAGTAGTTTGAGATTGCTCCCTTTCATACAAACATAATAGAAACTGAAAAGTCTGAGTTTCAAGTAAGAAGCCACAGCCTGAGATTTGAGTAGAAACCAAAACACAAAACAAATAAACCCCAAACAAAACAAATAACAACAACAAAAACAAACAAAGGGAGCTTGCTGTGGGTAGATTCATTGACATTGCTGCTTACAGAACAAGGGTTTCAGACAATAAGGAGATCTCTACTTTAGGGAGTGAAATTTTACAGCAATGGCAAGGATATAATTAATTTCAACAACTAACATTTATTGAATGGTTACTGTGTGACTGTCTTTCAAGAGGTTATAATGGGCATGTATGTTAATGGTTGTAATCTGAGATTTTGAGTGAGAGGATCAGGTTCCAAAAGAAGACATTCAAGGAGGGTTTCCTGAAAGATGAAAAGCAAGCTCATGTTGAAATACCAAAGAGGGGGGTGGACCAATTAAGGTCCAGAAGACACAAATGTGATAAAATTTCATTTGTAGTTTTTTGGTAAGCACTGATTTTCCCAACATGCTTGGTAACTCTGTTAGTATTTTACAAAATTATTCGTTGCTATGTGGAAAGAAAACATTAAGTTTTGAATATAAGGACATTGTTTCTCTCCCTCTGAAATATACCTTAAGGTGGGAAGATAATTTTGTTCTTGCAAGAGATGTATATTTTTCTCTTATATTTATGTTATAGGCTTTTTATGCCATTGAGGACCCACATAATCATAATTTTCCTCTGGTTCCTATTATAAATCATTTGACAGGGTGGTTTTTTTTCCTTTTATTTCAGAATGATATCCCTTTCCTTTTTTGTTCTGGAACAGTGTTTAGATTTTATTTTGAATTATTGTTATTATGGTTTAGTCCTATTTAGTAATCCCTGCATGAGGAGAGAAGTGTTCAGCCTTGACATATGCCAACATCAGGGAGTGTGGACTATCTATTGCTTGGCTAACTACCACTTAGGATCTGGCTTAATCTCAAATCCTAAGAATGAGCACAGGGGACTTGGGCTACTCTGAACTGTTTCTCATTATTAAGCAGTTATGCCTGGCTGTTCTGAGCTGGTATCTTCCTTGTCTGCTGACAGTCTCAGCTGAAGACACACGTGAAAAATGTCACCCTCAACATTCCCCATTTCCAGGTGCTTCTGTGCCTCAGCTATAATTACAACTTCTCTGTGACCAGTTCCCATCCCATGATGCATTATTACCTTCACACAAATTTTAGAAGAAAAATAGGTGATGTTACTCCAAATGTATCCACATCTTCCATTTAAAAATCACTTTCATCTTTTTCTAAATAAATTGAAGTTAAAAAATATCTTGAGCAGAATATTAAATGTAAATTGAGTACATTTATATATGTGGTAATACAGTACAATGTAGCTCTAGTGTGGCACTTTCTAATGACTTAATACAGTGAAAAGCTAGAATGCAATACAGAAATATGTAGTAAATCATAAAGTGTATAATTCACATGTTGCGTACCGTTCTCCTTGTGCACAAATGCTCCCTGAGGAGAGTCAGGGATACCTTTCCAGACTGTAATGGGTTTGGGATAGCCAGGGTCCATGGTTTTCATTTCTTCACTATATCTCCAATACCTACAAAGGATAAAGGCAAGAACAACAACACATGCATAGGAAAGGAAATGATGTATACTGACAGCAGTTGCTAACATTCATCCTCCTTGCTGCATGCCACCTGTATATCTGGTAATGATTTTCAGAACTGATTTAAATCACTGTAAAGACAATGGAATCAAAACATTTATTCTGTTTTCTGTCCTGCATATGTGAAAACTAGGTATGTTATTGTGTATTTATTTAGTCTGTTATAATTAATTAAAAATACTAGATAAGTATATTTACAGTCTAAAAAGGTAGCATCAGTGTATTTGTAAGTCAGAGGTTTTCATTTTTTAACAATCTTACTTAGGCAGCTGAACATTTTTTCAAATAATCTGAAGCAGAATCTTGATTAATTTATTCATTTGACATTTATTTGAGTACCTGCTCTGTGCCTGGCATTATTATAGGTGCTAGAGATACAACCTTGAACTAAACAGACATGCCCCAGCTCTCTTCAGTCTTACCTTTTAGGGTATGTTGAAGGTTACAAGCAAAAAACCAACTAATCAAAAATACATACTATGCTAGCAGGTAGAAATATCTATTAAGAAAACAAAGCAGATCAAATTATCCCTCAATATGGCTTAAGAGAACAGAGAGGGGTCTGGAATAAGCTGATGTCTGAGCAGAGAGCAAGTGAGCAGCAGCAGATGTGGTTTTAGAGGAGGAGTACACTAGGTGGAGTCAGGAGTCATAGAAAGTTCTTGTGGTGGTGACAAGCTTGAGTGCCAAACATCCAGAGTGAGACCTTTGTGACGAGAGTTGAGGTAGCACAGGAGAGTGGAGATCAGTGTGCAAACTGCATATGTGATCAGATAGACCCTCACACTACAGCAAACCTGAGGCCCTACAGGGATATGTGAACCCACTGTCCACTGAGCAGAGGAGCGTCCGACTATGGCTTTGATTTTACTGCTGCTGTGAGTTAAGTGGATGGAAGGAGGTAACATAGAAACAAGGACACCAATTAGCATGTACACTGTGGATCTCTTGGTAATGTAAGGCATGGAGATGTCATTTTGAAGAAGTCCCAGGTCTAACAGTGGTTCAAATGAATATGTGAGAGATAGTAAATAACTCAGGAATTAGGGTCTGGCTGTCTGGAGGAAGAATCCAATATTCAGTGCAGCAGAGACAGGGGCTGTCTGGGGAGACTTAAGTGTTGTAAGTCTGGTCTTAGGTATGCTGAACTCAGGTTCTTGCTGACATCAGAGTGTAGTTGTGCATGAGGTAACCAGGTGTCTGAGTGTGTACTGTAAGCAGGTCTTGACTGGAGACCTCAGTGGATGGACATAAAAACAGATAAAGGTAAAGTTAGGATTCCCAGATGCCTAGTTCTTCACGGGACATCCAAGAGACAAACAACACCGTGACTCTGGATTACTGATTGGACATATGTTCTCAGAGTCAAAGAAATTCATCTCTGGAATGTTCTAGGGATTGACGGTTTAATAGCCTTTCTAAGGGCTGTCAGAATGGTCTAGGAATTATATGATTTAATCACAACACATCTGAGATGGAAACCACTGTCTCTATGAGAGAGGAGAGTTCTTGGAAGACAATGAATGATAGGTAAATTTATAACCAACTCTGTCTGATTTTAAAGTCTCTACTCTTTCCTCCACATAAAACAAATATGTTTTCCAAATTTATTTGACAAATATTTTTAAACATCTGTAACCATCTGCTAAAGCTAGGGTTTGACCAGCAGGTTTGGGGAATAACACACTTTATGCACAAACTTGGGATTAGGCATTTTGGTTGAAACCATGAAAAAACATTTTCTGGTTTTCTCTGAGTATTTTCCAATTCTGAGTCAGTGGAGGATCCTTCATCTACACAGCTGTGTGATCTTGTAAAGAGGGGTTTTCTCTAGATTTCTACAAACCTCACTCATATAACATTGAGGATATTAGCATTTTCTTCATCTTCAGTGCTCACATAAGAAGGATAAAAGGGAGTTTCAGGAAGGGTTCCAATACATCAGCCACAGGCCAACTTTGTCCTGAAGGAAACACAGGGTGACAGGTGTGTGTCACAGATTGTTATCACATGGATGGTAAGAACAGATCACAGATCAGAGAACTTCTGGAGAGGCATTGAGCTGAGACCATAGTGACTGGGCCCATTCTTCTGAAGAAGAGAAGTCAGCAGAGCATCATTCTTCCAGCACTGAAGTATGTTTGCATTCATACTGTGTTCATGGAAAATTCATGGAATGCCTGCTTCTAAATTATTATGAATAATCTCTCACAGAAAAAATCTGTTATGAACACAGAATGGTTAATAGGACTGGTATTCCACTCAAAATCTCCAGCTGTCTTTTCTCCAGGCAATATCTCAATGGGGTTTACAATAGTCATACAGGTTAACCAATTGATTTATGCAATCATAAAGAAAACCTCTCACAAAGAAACTATCAAATAACTTACTTCATGGACACTAAGAAACCCCTTTGTTTTTCTCTCAGTTTGTGCCTCTAAAAATTAGGATGCTTCACTGTGTTAAAATTTACTAGGCAAGGTGTTTCCATCCATGATAGATTAAGTAATGATTTTTCTTTACAATAAATGGCATATTCCGATGATATAAGCATAAATAGTCTTTATATTTAGCTAACATAAGTTTGGAATAATTTAAAATCCTAGGGACAATAGGATCACACCTATACGTGGTTTCTATGAAAGGTCACTATGTACTTAAGAACCAGGTTTGTTCTCCAAGAACAGATGATTACAATGTTCTTGTAATAACACTCATGCATTCTGCAGTGTTTATAGCTATAAAGTAAATTTATATTAAATTTATTTGATCTTATTTCTCTATGATCACTCTACAGTACCTGTGTATGATGCACCCAACAAAGACACTGTCATTCAGTGCCTTCACTGACAGAGCATTGGGTGTCACATTATTCAAATGTAATGATTTGGCCATAGTTCCTCTTTTTGAATGTTGCAGAGTTGAAGTTAACACTCTCTGATTCATGGTTAAGTATGGTTTTCTATAACATCACCATTCATTTTCCCTTGATGAGCAACTATTAATCCACCTGCCATTCTTTCTCACTGCTAAAATTCTTAATCTTCATGTGTGAGTATGATTTTCTTCTTCCCTGGTTCTATCAGGCATCCATCCATTTTACCCTCCGACAATTCTCTGAGCACCTAAATAAGATTCATGAAGATCACATTTCAAAGAAACAATAATGGAATGTGAATTTTATTATACACTCTTGTAGGACCATAATTCTGGTATGAATTTGTGAGAAGAAACACATTTATCCTCTCTGCTAGAAGATAAGGCAATACTATAATTTGGGACCATTTTACAATTTGAAAATCTCAGTGTAGGCTCAGACCCTCAGGTTATCTGCTGTGTGCCAGCTTTGATATATATATATATATATATTCAATATATTTGATTGTGATGAGAATCCTCTGACTATGTCCAGAGCTTCTAAAGGTGCTGATGCTTATTTACAAATATAAGTTTGTATTGTAATTTTCAACATATTTGAACATATTTCAATATGAACAAAAAAGTTCATTCCACTGATTTTTTTCTGTTTGAAAAGTAAGCTTACAGGTTCATTGAGAAGTATATTAACATGGTCAGATGGGATACTGTAAATAAACCATTTGGTGAGTTTAAAATGTAGTTATTGCAGTGGAATAAATTTTGGAATTTGTGTAGGGTTGTCAGCAAATGATATAGGCTACTGAAACAAACCTTACAGTTTTTCTTCTGATACATCAGTGATCTCTACCTTTAGAATGATGACTTTAAATTGCTGAATCTTTGAGAGAAGTATTGGAGATCAGTGCTTCAAAATATGTTTAGAAATAAGATTTATTCATTATTTTTTAGTCTTGATCATGAGTCACAACCATAAGAAACAAAAATTGTCCATGTAATAATACAGAACATTTTCTTAAATTCCTTCTGTGTGAAGAAAAACAGTGCAGACAATTCTGGAATGATCTGCTTTAATGGGGTGTTGCTGAATACTGAATTCCAAATGAACAAAAGTGGCTCCAAGGGTTATTTCATGAGACTCAGTAATGCTTCCTCCTTTTCTATTTTATTTCTTCGCTCAGAGTCTAGGCTACTTGCTTCTGTTAAGTTACCACAAACACAAGTCCACTCTGTTTTCCTTACCCAAATAATTATACAAAATCTCAGTCTTCAGGAATATTCTTAAAAGTGCAACAGGATTGAAATTATTCATTTATACTATGATAAATGACTTTAAAAATACATATTGGATAATGACTTCATAAACACACAACTTAAGCTGAAAGAAATAAATGTTCGATTACTAGTGACAATTAGAAAAATAATAAATAAACAAACCAAACTCATTTATATTTTGACTTCCTTTTTATGGTACTGACATTTTTATTGTTGTTCAAGTTATTTTGACTTCTTTCTTTGAAAATATACTACATTTCTCAAAGGTTAAGCCTAGAATGAAATACGGCAATAGAGTCTTGGATGTAGCTGTGAGAAGATGCTGAGAGATGATTTAGAAACACAGCATTTTAGAGCTAAATTCTATGCAGATCCAAGTGCATTCAAGTATCAAATTATAGCATAGGAAGAAAAGGGCAAGGAGGAACTTGAGGATGAAGTCCATGCTGTCTATAAAGCAAGGAAGCTAGAAATTTCCATCAGAATTTACAGAACTGTTTAAAGAACCATCATTTCATTTTCTTTATCTCTATAGTTAGATTTCATGAGGCCCCTGCTTGCAGTCTGGTTTATATGTCAAGTATCTCAAGCCTGTGCCTCCAACCCACCTTTCTACCATTTTTTTAAAAGATTGTATTTATTTATTTTTTAGACAGGGAAGGGGGAGAGAGAGAGAGAAAGAGAGAGAAAGAGAGAGACATCAATGTGTGGTTGCTGGGGGACATGGCCTGCAACCCAAGCATGTGCCCTGACTGGGAATCAAACCTACGATGCTTTGG